TAGTTTAGGATTCTGGGCAGGATAGCTCCAATATATTCTCTAATATCAAAATTTTATGTTGAATGACATAGATCATAGATGCTGATATTACATGACTTTGCTTGTACTGTTACAGCAGAGATGATGTTTCATTTGAACCACTGTAGCAATAATGATTATGTGTGTGTATCTTTTGAAACTCCTTCCTGCAGGGAGTGGAACTGGTAATAGTGGCAATGCTAAGGTTAAGGTGGATATTCCTGTCACTGTTGTACCTGGGAAGAACACAATTGATCTCCTGAGTTTGACTGTAGGACTGCAGGTTCAGCTCTCCTGACTAAGATTTACATAATCATTGACTGAAAATGGAAATATTTATCTGCAAGTTCTAGTGTTGTAGTTTCTATAAAAGCTGAATATCTTATCTGTTGGATTAATCAGTTGTAAGAAAAATATTTAGATATAAGTATCATCTAATTGGACACATCTGTATCAGAACTATGGAGCCTTTTTTGACCTAACGGGGGCAGGGATCACTGGTCCAGTGACTCTTAATGGTTTAAAGAACGGTAGCAGTACCGATCTCTCCTCACAGCGGTGGATGTATCAGGTCAGTGTCTCTTTCTTTAATTATCCTGTCAACATTAATCATTATCCTAATTACAATTCTGAACAAGGGTAAGATGGTGAATAAACACTGCATTTCTTTATAACCTACAAACTGGGAGAATGGGTTCTAAGAATTGGTTTTGAATCACATCCATTGCAATGGTGAACACAATCTATTTCTCTCTGCCACATCAAGCACCCATCCATTGATTGTGGTGCGATGGCACTAAATAATCAATATAGTAGACCTCACTCTGACTGAAGAGGAATCAAACTCCCAAGTAATGTTAACTTCCAAAAGAAATTTGTGCAATGGTACTTTAACTTTCTTCTTGTTTCTCCAATCATGAATATAGGTTGGACTTAAAGGGGAAGATTTAGGTCTACCAAGTGGAAGTTCATCACAATGGATCTCACAATCCACCTTGCCCAAGAATCAACCCCTGATTTGGTACAAGGTAATACTTAAGTTTTAATTAGGTATGGTTTTGTGGATTTTGAATTTCCTTATTGCAGCAAAAGGGTATTGATTATTCAATAAGGTATTATGCCTATCATTCTTTTATTAGTTACTACATAATTTAGGGTTCTTTTTTGGCCTGAATATTACTTATTTTTGAATCTTCTAGTTCTGATAATTAATATATATACTGTCAGTGGAGTTTTTAAATTCCAGCAGCAGGGTTAGAGAATTGCCATATACCTTATTAGGGTATATTTAAAAAAATTAATAAATCAATATGATAAATAAAAGGACATGTGACAATATTGTAACCCTGCTTGTGGAGTTTCAAAACTCCACGGTCAATGTGTGCAACAATAGTCCTATATCTATTAAGTGAAAGAAAGCTGGGGGTTTACTGTTTAGCAGTGAGCAATATTAGGAAAAATTTGAGTTTGAAGTCTCTACCTTTCAGAATATATATTGATTCCTTCTAGGACAATCTTTAAAGATAACAATTATTGCACTAACCCTTTTCCAGAATAAACAACCAGATACAGCAGTCAGCATAAATTTTTGTTGCTTTCGTCCATTAATATTAACTAAGTGTATCAGTTCCTTTCAGCACAACTTCCAAAGTGAATTATTATGTAGTAACATGTCACCTATTACTTCTGAACATTTTTCTTTTTACAAATGAGGAAATTTCTCAAAGAGTAATGATAGAGAGTAAAGTAAGAAGAATAGAACACAATAGTTGACTTTTAAATCATGAATGCACATAAACAGAACATAAAAATTATGAAAAAAGGTTTTAATGCCCAAAGTTATAGTTTAAGAGTTTATTGTATAGTAAAATGTGAAAGAGAATCCTAGCATCGAATTCCAAAATCTTAGTATAATGACAAACCAGGTTGAGGCTTTAAGTTGGGTCATTCATGGAGAGTCGGTGTTTGCCATATGTTGTAGGGGTGATGATTTGGTTTAGTACAGGCCAAACATTTTTAGCATCATCTATTTGTTTTGTCATGAATTTTCATACCCTAGCTAACCTATGAGCTATCAATTCATAAAAATATATAATGGATCACACAATTGAATCAACATCTAAGCAACTAGTGTTCAATTTTCTGTATGCAGACAAATTTTGACGCCCCAGCTGGAAATGACCCAATTGCTTTAGACTTCACTGGGATGGGGAAGGGTGAGGCATGGGTGAATGGACAGAGCATTGGACGTTATTGGCCAGCCTATATCTCTCGAAATGGTGGCTGTACTGACTCTTGTAACTATAGAGGATCTTATAATTCAAACAAATGCCTCAAGAATTGTGGGAAGCCATCTCAGCAGTTGTGAGTGCCAAAGAGTCTACATTGGAAAGCCTGAAAATTAACAGTTTAATATATAAAAATTTCTTATCATGGGTTATCTATCTCACTTACAGGTACCATGTACCCCGTTCATGGTTGCAACCAAGTGGCAACATTCTTGTTTTGTTTGAGGAACTTGGTGGGGATCCGACACATCTCGCTTTTGCAACCAAACAGATGGGAAGTTTGTGCTCACATGTATCAGAATCTCACCCATTACCTGTAGATATGTGGAGTTCAGATTCAAAAACAGGAAGGACTTCAAGCCCTATCCTATCCCTGGTTTGCCCATCTCCAAATCAGGTTATTTCTTCAATCAAATTTGCAAGTTTTGGAACTCCTCGTGGGACTTGTGGTAGTTTTAGCCATGGCAGGTGTAGCAGTGTTAGGGCACTCTCCATCGTACAGAAGGTGCTATCTTGTTCACTCTTCATCTACGACTTCTGTGGTTGTTAACTAAATTATTTATATTTACTGATAATTGTTAAATTATTCAGGCTTGCATTGGATCGACAAGATGTAGTATTGGAGTATCAACTAGTGCATTTGGTGACCCTTGCAAAGGAGTCATGAAGAGCTTAGCTGTAGAAGTTTCCTGTACATGAAGAAATGTTAATAAGCATGCATTACAGGGTGCAAGCGAAGCATTGTCCGCAAGTAAGTGTTTGATCAAATAAGAATTTTGACAGCTTGTCAAAGTAAAAGGATTCTTGCTACAAAAGGAAAAGGTTTCATACAACAGATATATTCTTGCTAGTACTAAGAAAAATAAACGTTAGTGTAGTGTCAACTCTAATGATAATTCTGCACATCAGTGTATCTTTGAACAGAGTAGATGCCTTCTTGTGCAGGAAAGTATAGATGAAATATTAGTGCACTGTGTCATGTGACGCAAACCTAAAACCGATGTGATGATGGCATTAAGATATTTCATGAACTAATGACAATAAGTCACACATGCCTGAGAAGAATTCAGCTGTTTTCTTCATTCTAATTGTAATGGGGTTTCGATGATCTCTGCCTAAAGGAACAGTTTAATAGTGCTATTTTAAGAACTATTCTTACAATTACTGCAATGATCTTCCTTAAATTGGCATTTTATTGTTGGTTAAATGCAAATATATTGATGCTTAAATTGTGTCTAGTCTACGGGTAGAAATAGGAAAAAAAAAACCCTCATTTTGTTGGTACCACCATTCATCAGAGTTGCAGGCTGGTGCTAAGTCATTGCAATCAAGTTCTCAACAGGTTCTGTTATTTTAAAGTCAAAAGAGTTGAATTCAGGAACCTTTTTCTTTTCTATTACTTTATACTTGATAGTGGTTTTTAGACTGTAATACAACTATTAGACTATAGAACTTGTTTAGAATCTCCAGAGCCAGATTCCCAAAACACATTCTCCTAGATAACAAATGCCTTGAATGCTGGCATTGGAAAGAGCTTAGGATAGAATTTCAATGGAACATTAAATTTGTATACTATAATTTATTACGATCCGGTTAGCTCCTCTCTTAGGCTCATCTTCACCCTTTTTTAAGCTCATGTTTTGGCCCCAAATCAAAATGTGCTTTAAATGTGATCAAAGGAAGATTTGACTGTCAGGAAATACGTTACTACAATAATAAAAAAAAAATGCAAAGCCAAAGGAGTCTTTACTTTGTTTACAATCAGCTAGCGGCTGACGCTCCCGCGTGTATCGGAGTAGACCTATCTTGAGTCTATCCTCGTCAAGTACTTTCAAAAAGAAGAATGGGAAGTAAGACGTCGTTGTGTCATGCCAAAGCGTCTCAGGAAGGAAGCAGATAAGATGTTTTCAAAAGTCTCCCGTGGGTAGGTAGGTGAGTTTTTGAGTGATTTATAAGCCGCGGTGTTATATATATTATTAGGTTAGTATTGTGGAAGAGAGTAATGGTCCTGGGACGAGTAATATCAGAGTTAACTTAAAACACTTTTTGGGGGGAAGCAGGTAGGGTGGCCGATGGAGGATTGGGTGCTTCTAAGTATCTCACATTGAGCAGGTAAGGAGTTCTCGGGTGATTTGTAAACGGGGTGTGCATATTGCCTAACGGAGGAAAGAAGAAGTCAAACGATCTAAAGCTAGCACGTAGGAGAGGGTAAAGGAGGAAACTACAAATCAAATGATCTGAAGCTAACATGTACGATAACGCGGTTTTTCCACTTCAGAAACTTTGTGGAGGATGCTTCTCTCCATATTACTGTTTGTTTTTTTTCTTTTGACTAGAAGATGGAAGCACTAAAGGCAACTTCGATTGGTGTGATGCTTCAAGATTGAAAACGATTCCGTATGCATGAATTAGAGCACACCGAGGGCGGCAATTGATGGCCATAATGTAAAGATGAACCATGTATATATATATATATATATATATTTAAAAGAAAAACAAAACTTTTAGATCTTTGAAAACAGTAAAGCTTTATACATCTGTTTAAAATAATGATGTGCTGGGCAAATCTGTAGCCCTTATTGGTGTTTCAATTGCAAAGCTAATGACCCCACAGAAAATTGCATACTTTGCGCTGCCTTGGTATCAAACAACAACATGTATGTTATTTATTTTAGTCAGTATTGAGGTAGTCCCTTAGATGGAAGCAAAGCCGGCTTGTCCTTTGAACCTGCAAAGTTTGCAGAGAGGAGAAAAGAGGGATGGCGTTTGGTATTTGTCCTCCCCACCCATCATCGGCATTGGAACACCTCTCTTGACAGGGCTAACATAGTCTGCCCTGTAAGTCTGGCCTAGCACTCCTTCCACGCGATCGCTTACATTGGTAAATTTGAACTGTGTCTCCAAATGGGCAAAAGCATCATCAGCTGGCAACTGGTAGTTGTGAACCTTATTTTCCCGTTCTCCAATAGCTCTAACCTTTACGTTCAATTCCACCAGCCCTGCAACTGTCACTTTAACACTATTGGTATCATCAGTTCTTTCTACGACCACTTCCCTTTCTTCAGAATTAGTCCTCCATTCAGCCTCTCCATCAGTGGGGATGCTAACTGCTTCGCCGTCCCATCTCACAGTGAGAGAATCAAAGCTGTCATCCCATTGAGAGACTCTCTTTGCTGCGAGGACGAGAGTGTGAGTGTCGAACATGACAGCCAGGGCTTGCACCCATGTGTAGTCCCGAGTCCTTCCTTCAGGTCGTGTTCCGATGAAGTGTGCATTGATTTGGAGGTTATCATCTGATACAATGGCAAAATTTCCTCCCTTGGCTCCATGGAAGTAGAACATTACGCCATCACCACCAACAAACCTTGGATCATAACACAGAGAGCCATATCCATCACAGTTTGGTCTTCTCCCTGTCAAACGACTTAAAATTTATCAGCATATATTACATTGTAAAAATACATTGCTGCATAAGAATTCCTTGAACAGCATACAAGCATAACATAGAAGAGTACTTAAGTAGGAGACTTACATTTGCAGGTGACTTCACACTTGCTACTGCAATCAAAGAAGCATCCTTTATTCTTTTTGTTCTTCTTGGGCTTCCTCTCAGGGCATTGAGCCGGACATGTGAGTGTCTTGCCATTACATGCCCCTCTTGCTTGGCAGAAAACTCTTTCCTGTCCTTTCTTGCTTGGTTTCAGAACATCGTAATGTGTTGAAGCAGCATCATAGGGTGCCTTCTTCCTGTTGCCATTGCCATTGCCTTGAGCATAGCTCGCTTCCATGGAATTGAACACTAGAGCAAGGGTCACCAAAACGAACGAGTATATTCTACCCATGTCTGTATGTTTAAATGCAAGCTTTTGTGATTATGACTTTGTTTTTCTTCTCCTTCTATTGATCTTCAAGTGTTGCAGTTTGGAGAAGAGATGCTGAGGCATGGTGGGAGGAAACCTCTATAAAGGCCAGTTGGGCCGGCAATCTGCCTAGAAACTCGGTTAAAGCCATGTGACATTTCTTCTGACTATAAACAAGAAGTTGAGAAACAGCTCCTCTTTAATTTTCATGAGTCTTCTGGATCTGTCCATTTGACCATATGAAATTGGGAGGACTACATTTAGCATTATTGTTATGGTTACTAAACTTAGGCGTAGGCCTTGCTTGAGATTGGAGACAATATCCTTCTGAAATGATACTAGTAATTTGGATGCTTCAAGTTCAAGCACTAATATTCTGCTAGCTAGTTGAGCAAGATTTATGACCGACTCAAGGTGCCAAAAAAGTCATGTAGCTGCAGGATGAGACTCCAAATTGAAGGATGAGACTTTGTTCCTAGTAAACGTTAAAAGAGCTGCACACTTCATTATGGGGTGTAACAATCCTCTGTTTTGGTAATGAACAGTCTGTATCTCTAGATGTTTGAAATGATTCTTGTGAAAACATTCTATCATGCTGCAATTTCTTTGAAATGAAAAATGAAAAACACCCTTTCTTCAGTTTGAAGTGACTCAGGGAAGAACGTAACGGGTTATGCACTCTCGTGGCTCCTAGCTTTATGCCTTTAATGCAATACTATGGTCTGCCTCGAAAAAAACACCCTCACCCACCCCCACTGTCTTTTTCCTTTCTAAATATTATTTTTTTAAAAAAAAATTCTCTTTTGTCCTTTGGGTACACTCGAAAGAATTAAGAGGAAAAGAGTTATGATTATCATCAAAGTATCTGTTAAGTCAAATGGTATATGTTACAATGGAGATGGAGACAGTATGCAACTGAAATCTACAAAATAAGAAGGTAATTCCATTTTGTTTACCACATGGTATTAGATCCTTGTGATTTATGAACTAGTGATGGGTTGTAATGCCAGCTGATAGCTTTATACAGACATATATGAAGTAGTATTGTATATTTTCTGCATGGTGCTTTAATAAGTGAGATGCATTCAAAGAAACCAGTTCAGCAGATTGCAGAGAAAGATGCAAGTGGATTATATATGGGTATATATATATATATATATATATATAAATCCATCAAGGAGTGAAGGGAAACACACTTCTTACATTGTAATTAAAGTATAAACTCCGCCACTCGCTTAAATTCTTATCACGCTTTGTCATGTGATTAAACCTCTCATAATGGCCGCCTTGGATCTCAAAGTTTCCAAATTAAAAAATTGGCTCTTTAAAGTCAAACAACTCTACATTTCTGGTTTCTGCACACCTCAAACCGCCCACATCCCTTATGCTTACAATGTTATGAAAGGCTTTATATTTACAACAAGTTGCATTAACTTATAAAAGAGAATTGCTCAAGTCAAATCCATTAGATGTTAACAAGTTCACCTTGCACCTGCTGAAAATGCGGCTTCTTGTAAGAGAATGTCATATAGCAAGTGGGGCATTTCGTTTCAATCTTCAACACCATCATATGTATTGTTTCACTAATAAGATACAGCAAAAAGTAATACCATATCCTCACTCTTCTATTAGCCGGTATATATAACATACCAGTTCGATCTTTTGAGGTTAGCCTTCTTTACTCTTCTGATTTATGAAAATCTATGATGGTCAGTTAGATTACGGAGGGAAGGCTCTGTGGGTAAGGTCTAAAATTGACGTTTAAGGAACAGTTTTCTTTTCTGATATTTAACTTTGAACATTGACTGCTTAATGGCAATTGCTTACTAGGCTGCCAGTCTAAATTAGCTGTTACGTTGCTTCTGAAAATGAAGGTTTCAGAACAAAGAAATCTTATGGGCTTCGTGGCCATGTATGGCCAGAAGCTTTCATTGTTCTTGTTTCTCTTGAATAAAGCTATATATGAAGATAGTCAAACACAAGAAAATTGGTCCTGTTCATGCCCTTCAAAGAAAAAAAAATGAAGAAAGTTGGTGCTGAATAAGTCTAGTAATGAAGGCACTTCCTTAGCAAGATAAGCATTTCAGCATTAAGAAATATTTTAAGCACATAAAAACTAATTAATTATATGTATATGATGGGCAACTTTCGTATGGCCCTTATTTGTTTAAAATAACAAAATTAGGAAGGTAAAAACACGCAAAACAAGATGATTGACTCATCTGTTTAGTTATAAGCTTGGTTCATTTGCAGAGACCAATTTATTTCTTCTCTGATTATTATCAGCATGGAGAAACTCTTCAGATGCTAGCAACTCCAGATGGTCTCTGAAACCTGCAAGCATTGCAGAAAGGTGAAAAGAGGGATGGAGTTTGGTACTTGTCTTCCCCACCCATCATTGGCATAGGCACCCCTCTCTTGACAGGGCTAACATAATCGGGCCGGTAAGTCTTTCCCAGGACTCCTTCGACAAGATCACTCATATTGGTGAATTTGAATTGTGTTTCCAAGTGAGCGAAGGCATCATCATCAGGTAACTGATAGTTGTGAACCCGGTTTTCTTCTTTGCCAATTGGTCTCACCCTTATGTCGATCTCCACCAGACCAGATACCTTGACTCTAACACTGTTCTTGTCATCAGTTCTTTCTACTAGCACTTCTCTTTCTTCACCATTAGTCCTCCATTCAGCGTCTCCGTCATAAGGGATGTTAACCGCCTCGCCATTCCATCTTACACTGAGAGCATCAACATTGTCATCCCACTGAGAAACTCTGTTGGCTGCAATGACAAGAGTGTGAGTATCAAACATGACAGCCAAGGCTTGCACCCATGTGAAGTCACGAGTCCGTCCTTGTGGTCTAGTGCCAATGAAATGAGCATTGATCTGCAACTTATCATCTGAGACAATGGCAAAGTTTCCATCCTTTGATCCGTGGAAATAGAACATAACTCCATCACCACCAACAAAACGAGGGTCGTAGCAGAGAGAGCCATAGCCATCGCACTTTGGTTTCCTCCCTGCCAATATATAAGGAAATTCTAAATCAGTCCAAGTTAAAATGTACTCTTCCATGTCTCAGAGTTGCAGCTTGAAGAACATTTTCCTCTGCGTCTCAGCTAAGTGGACAAGACCTTCCTCTGTACCTTTGGGATAATTATGGAACCAAAGTACTTATACACTATTATTCTAGTTTTCGTTCAAGGTTGGACAAGTTAAAAGAGTACAAGAATTACTCCTCGCCTTGGCCTTCTATTGGTTTTTCTTTAAAGCTGTTGTCGTGACAAGATGCTTTATATTTTGTCTTCTTTCCTTTTAGATCAATGTTACTTGATATTGTGGAATATTTTAGAATATAGGCAAAAAGGTAATCTTCCATACCCTATATATATGGAGATTGGCTTCCATAAGTCCCTAACATACTCTCCTTTTACAATCTTTTCTCTCTAATTTTTCTTACTACTACTTATCATATACTGGCTTCAGCTTCGGGGAGTCAATCCGGAGCCAAGCTCGGGTCTCTATCACTATCCTTGCATGTCTTGAAGATGGATATTGGCCTAGACCGAAAAGTTTAGCATCAGCACTTGGCAAAGTAAGCTAGAGAGTAAATAGAGAGCTCCTACAACTTCTAATACCATATTCACGCCAAGCCATGAGTCCCAAGTATATATAATGAAGAAGAGAAGAAATAGATGCATAGTGATTAAGTCAAGGAGACTTACACTTGCAAGTGGCTTCGCACTTGCTGCCGCAGTTAACATGGCATGCCTTAATCTTCTTATTCTTCTTAGGCTTCCTCTGGGGGCATTCAGATGGACAAACAAGGGTCTTCTGGTAACAAGCACCTTTTCCTTTGCAGTATGCTCTTTCTTGGCCAAGCTCTGATGGTGACAAGTTGTCGTAATCCAATTCACCATCGTTTTTCTTCTGCTTATCCTTATTTTTATCCTTTTCATTGCCCTTATTCTTTCCCTTACCGTTGTAATTGTCATCGTGGCCATTGCCTTTGCCTTTGCCTTTGCCATTGCCATTGCCATTGTTTCCATTCCCTTTGTTGCCCTTATCATCACCATGCACCATGGCAGCTTCTGTGCATAGTAATATAACAAAGAAAACCACCAAAGTATATGACTTCATCTTATCTATTTGTAAGTCTTAAAAGTCTTAAAAAAACACAGTAAGATGTTTCTTTCTCCTCCTTGTTTGGACTTTCAAGTGGTCGATCAGTGGAGGAGAGGTGAGAAAATTTGTTGCACAAACTGAAGTTTTATAAAGGGTATGTCAGCAGGAACTAAGCCCTTGGAGTTAGGACGATAAGGACAAAACCTGCTGTGATTCCTTGCTTCATTCCTAGGACAAATTGCAAAGGAAAGGGCATTTCAAGAGGAATAAATTACATGCAATAATTCAGGTTTTGGATATTGACCAAATAGCTGTAAAGTATTTCTTCAAACCAAGTCATTGTAAAGTAGCTTTAGCTTCAAAATTCAGCATAAGTTCAATCAATCAGCCATCAATAAAGGCTTGCTTTAGGTGTTAGAAAAGTGTTTCTTTTGTTGCTTTACATTTTTTATTAACAAAGATTCATGACTATCAAGTATTCTCGAAGGTCATAGATATTTATTTCTAATTTTTCAAGGAATTAGTATTAATGAATTTGCAAAGACACTATATTTATAATACGTTGGGATTTTGAATATTAAATGATTTTAATTTTTATGCTAATTTCATTTATATATTACGAAACTTAATTAGACTCATTATTTCAAAATTTCAAATAATTATTAAAAATTGAATTCTTAAGAAAAAAATATAAAAAAAATTAAAAAAAACTTCTTTCTAATTAATTTTTAATTATATATATAATGTCAGGATATATAACGATTTTCACATATTTAAACAAAGCATATTATAAGAAAGGAATTACTAGCATCTAAAGACAACAACCTTTTGAAAAAAATGAAACAAAACAAATACAACACATAAAAACAAATTAGTACTCCTTGCCACTTCTACATTCTTGGACACTTTCCTCATACCACTTTTACTATTTTCTCTTTTTTATTTTTAAATTAAGGTTAGTTTTAGTAGTATTTTTTCTACTTGCATTAAGTAATTCATGTTTTAATCTAAAAGGGAAAGAATTAATGTTTAAAGTATCCACAATAGTTTCTGTATTGCATTTGAGCCACATATTAAGTCCAATTATTTAAATGCAAAAATAGTGTAGGAAAATTTGAGGGTAAATAAGTTGGTAAAGATCTAAATATATATTACATAATTGAATTATCATACCCTTCATAATGAACATATAAAAGTATTTTTTTTTCTTTTCTACCGTTCAAATATATTTATTTTGGGATGACTAATTTTAGCAAATCTCCATTTTTTGGCTCCTACTAAGTGCAAATAAAAATTAATTTTCTTTTATCTTTTCTACTCATCCTTTTAATTTTATCGTTTATACTCAATCATTTTTATATTCTCTAACCTTTTTTCTCTTAATAACCAAAGGTTAAGTAGCCATTGCAATCGAATTTTTCATTCGGTGTATCATAGTTAGCCTTCAAATAGACCTACTGAACGCTTGGGTCAATCGCACGATTGATGCAGCAATATGGTGGCCACATGGCGCCCTCCACGGGCTCACGGGCCGAAATGTTGCTCGCATGGTGTGCTCCCAGCACTCCATCCAATGATTGATAGCCACATATGCATACTATTTACTAATTAATTGGGATTTCTTGAATTCCGGGGTTTATATGATGCACATAATTCCACATGGGAAGAAATAAATAAAAAAACCGTTTTTTAGATAAAGAGGAATATAAGTTATTAGTAGTTGGATTAAAGTCAATTAAAGTATAAATATGACCATGGTTAATCTGTCCAAAGTTGATGGGGCAGCGACTGGAGAGAGCAACACCTAATGTGGTCTGGAGACCTGATGACTGTTGGGTGATGGTGAGAACATGGATCAGTTGGAGGCATTCCACTCTTTTCATTTCCAGAAATCTTCTGCTGACTTAGCCAATGATTCTGACTAACAGGGCTGACCACAAAAGGATGGAAAGTGTTGGATTTTTAAATAACAGTAAGGAAAGTGTAGTTTGGGGAATAAGTGTATTTTTCCCTATGACATCTTATGATTATAGTACAATCATACACTGAGCTAGCATGTGTAAATGTGTCTGTCATTTAAGCCAATAGCAAGGGCAACAATCAATCAGTTGTTCAAGAAGCAAATGAAAAGTAAGTTTAAATTATATTTACCATATAGAAAGCAAACTCTTTACCTGTCTCAAAACCATATATCACCTAAAAAGAATACTTTGTCAAATTGAAAGACTAACCTTTTGAAAGATATTGAACATCCACAAACACTATAATTGATGAGGAGAAAATAAAACAGGAAGAAAAGGAAAGAAAAAAAACACTGAGAAAGACTAAAATAATCTCATTGCCACTTAGATTATCGAAATATAGGAAGATCATATCTTGTTTGTTTGTCAGAACTTAGATCCGCTCCGCTGACTGCAACACTGGTATTTGAGGTCCCCTCTCCATATTCACGAGCCATCTTTAGAAAGTAGCTATGCCTGCACAAGCAACCATTTACAACCTAGGGTTAGCAACCAAAGAACCAAAAAAACAGAAAAAAAAAAACATTTAGAACCTCAGATAAGATCATAACAAAAATAATAATAACTTTAATGGATGGTTAACATTCGAGTATTTGGCTCATTGGTTGAGGTATGATCTCCATGCTTAAAGAATAGGGTTTGAATCTCCCTTCTCCCAATTCTAAAAAAAAAAAAAAAAACCTTTAATTGATGGTTGAAATCTTTATACCATCTAGTGTCTGCAGTCAACTCAGGGTGGAAAGCAGTCCCTAGCAAGTTTCCTTGTTTTATGGCAACTATCACTTTCTTTTCAGGCACAGCATTCTCCTGAAATACACAAAAATTTAGATAAGAAGAATTAATAGAGCTAAATAAAGAACCAATAACAGATAGGATAATCCTTTTCTAGAGCATGTGTAATCTAGCATATAAAGGCAAGGCCATAAAACCTGTCTGTTGCTACAAACTGCAGCTCACCTTTCAATCAAAATTGTTACTACTTCCTTTTAAGGTTTCTAGAGCAAGAGGGAAAGTTCAAAACAAAAATTTCCCAAGTCCTAATCATATACACCACATTTTGTTAAAGCAAGTTCCTCGCTGGATCTATAATAAGGATGAAAGATCATTAACATTCAACCTATGCGGCTAACCTTTTAAACTAAAGAAACAAATAAACAAAATAGATCTGTCACCATTATAGGAAAAGGTATAGGAAAGAAAAATGATCCAATCCAGCCTCCTTCAACTGAAGCAAGGTCAATAAAGTTTCATTGATTTACTTTCAATTATTGCAAGGAAGAAGAATTTGATAGAAAGAGCATCAGCAAGTATACCTCTTGGAATTCAACAGCTGAACTAGAGTATAGCACTTTATTAGATGGAATAGGATAATCAGCCAGCACTTCAACATCTGGCCCCACTTCGACAACTGCAGGAGCACGTATAAAAACACCAGGAAATGTCTCAGGGCCACCTTCTCTGGATGCAAGTTCTGGTACTAAAAGCTCTGCCTCAAAGCTTTGGATCTAAATAATATTTATTTATTAAATAACATACAATTTAGGCCAACATTAGAAGTTTAAACAAAAATAAAATTTAAAAACAAGGATAGGAGGCTATTGAACTCTGCATAACTATAAAAATACATCACATATCTGTAATTAAGAGGTTTCTAGATGTAAAAAAAAAAAAAACAGTTTTAACTTTTAAGCTAGTTAGATGAAACTTGTCAATTTCCCAAGTTTGCAACTTAAAATGCTTATTAGAACACATTGGAGTTGTGCAGTTTCTATGGATTTGCATTCTATTAATCACTACACAAATTGCAGAGAGAGGCAAGTTCAACTAAACAGTGCAATATACCATTCTATCCACTTAACAAGCATCTTGCACATACAGTCAAATTAAAGGCACATGTAAATTACCTGACTGCCAAAGTAATTTCTATGGACAGTGCAATCCAGGCCCCCAACTAATTCCTGTCCTCCTTCTTTCTGTCCTGAAAAAGTTGCACCATTGATTTCAAATTCAGAGCCTTCTGAATGATCTCATTTTGGCAAGTGGCTTGGTGCAAACCATTAATATTTTGCAAATTTAGCATGCAGAATCCAAAAGGAGGAGGAGAAATGAAAGAACAGAAACCTACCAACAGCTTTGTTTGCCAAAAATATAAGACCCGCACAAGTTCCCCAAACTGGCTTCCCCATTCGAACAAACTCACGCAGAGCTGGAAACTGACCAGAAATGAAAAATATTAACCAATTAAATGCAAATGAGACACTTATAAATGTTCTCATTGAGGATATTCCAATAACTGCAAGAACTGACTCATTTGCATAATAACATGTCTAGGCTTGTGACTGCAGTAAATTACAAATCAAGATCAAGATGAAATTGGAGACTCCAAAACCTTTATCTTCAGAAATGACACACAGGAACAAAAATTGGTTGGTCGGTCATTCACTCTTGGCAAAGAACTCCTTTAATCACTAGACATGACTCAATCAAGGTTAATTATAGTAATTTTTCTCTCTTACATGCTGAGTGTTTAGCCATATATACTTGAAAACATCTAACACTGTCAAACTCATTCTTCTTACTTCAATCCTTGTTCCTAGATCAAAAAAGTCACTCATGGGTAGCAATGCATCTCAAAGTCCAAAACGCACCAAAAGCACCAAAGTTGCCCTTCTCTTATATCACCTTTACCTTCTAATGACTAGATTTAGAACAATGATCATTCTCATATTTACCTGCATGAACATATTTCATAAAAATAATAAAGCAAAACTATATGAACATGCTATCTTCTGACTCCTAAGTGCTAATTACCACAAAACATAGCTTGGTTGAATTGAAAAGGGAAAATATAAACATAAATTTTGCTATACTCAAACTACAAGCACCAGTCGTTAGGATTTGTTATTACTTTTACCACTTGCCTTTTGCTTTTGGAAGTGAAAAACAAAAAAAATAGATAAAAAGAAAGGTAAAAAGAAAGTGTGTTTGGATACAAAAGCAAACAATAATTTACTGCAAGACTTTACTTTTACATGGAATCCTCATTTCAATTATTTAGTGATTTTCAAGCAAAATGATCTTACATCTTAACATTTGCATTTGCTTTTATAACAATAAAGCAAAAAACAAATACAAGCAAGATGCAAGTGAGCAACATAACAGGCGAATGGCCCCTAATTAGGTATTCCATGCTTTTCAAAAGCAGAATTAAGGAAAAAACAGAAGGAATCAATTTGATCAAAATGAATCAGAATTCAATCTCTCATACTTAGATGATAGTCATCGCAGGCCCATAAAGGATAACTTCTTGCCAAAGAGGAAATTAAGAGAAAGAGGGAATACAAGATTGTGAAACTCAGCAAGCTTAGCCATGGTGGTGCTCTCTCCACCAGGAATGATAAGAGAGCTGATATTCTGAAGCTGCTCTGGCTTCCTTACCTCCACTCCTTTCACTCCCAGCCTCTTAAGAGCTGCAAAGACAAAAATAATATTTTCAGGCAAAACGTAAATCTCATCAACAAACATTCTGAAAATGTAAGTTAAAGAGATTATTGCCTGCTATGTGTTCGTTGAAGGATCCCTGTAAAGCCAATACTCCGACGACGGCCATGCTTCAGTATTCCAGTCGACTAGAGGAAGAGAGACGTCGAGCAATGGAACTCTTTGCTTCTGTCTTGCTTTGCTGCCTGTTTATTGTTTGGGATTTTAATATTTTTCAGCCGCCGAAAAGTTAACCAATCGTATTGTAAGATAATTGCCACTTGCCAGTCCATAAACTGGAGGCCACCCCTACCAACATTTGAAACACAAAGGAAAAGTGCCAAATAATAATAATTTTTACAGAATTTTTTTTCCCATGGATTTGCCAATAAGTTAAATTATATATTTATCTTCAATTTTGTTTAATCTTAAGAAATGTAGATAAAATTTTCAAACTTGTTTAAAAAATCAAAATTAAACTTCAAAATTCAACAAGAGACAAATCAGGATAAATTACAATTTTACTTTTTTTAGTTTGATTTATTTTAGAATTTAATTTGATTTTTGTTTCAAAATATTGAAAATCACTTTTTGTTCAAATCAAACTAATTTTAATATTTGACTTTGAATTAGAATTAAACTATATTCAATTTCAATATATATTATATATACACTTTATTTTATTCATAAAATATAAAATATTGAAAAAAATAAATTTAAAAACTAATTAAACTCATCGTCTCAATTTTAAAAGAGTTAAATTAGAATATTTATTGAATTAAATTGAAATAATTATACGTAGATCATTGAAATTCGAATATTTATAAATTAAAATTAAATAATTTAGTTTTCTTTTAATTGATATTTTTGTTATTTATTTTTTGGTTATTTTAATAAAAATAAAAATATTAATGTCTTGGATGAAATCTGTGGATACGAAATTGGTTGGAAATTTGATGCTGGTGAGGTGTAAATTTGTGGTTGGATGACAACCTCCACCACCAAACATTACACAGCCCAAAACAGACCAACTCGTTTCTGCTCGGTAGTTTCGAAAATTACCTTTTCTGAAACGTAAAAAAATAAAAATAAAAAAACCCAAACAAACAAACACGCTCGCAATTTAAGAGCGACGCATGGTTTTTTTGTTTTGTTGGTGGCAGCTGGACGGCTTTTCCAAGAAAAAAAAAAAGGCATTTTCTGTTGTATTTTTGTTCTCACACTTGCGTATACTCTTTTCCCCCAATTTCAAAACCTTAGATCCCTCTTCCTTCGTCCACCACCATAAAGGAAAAAAGAAATTGGAATTTCTGATTTCTCTGATTCGTATTTCGATTGGAAACAGAAAAAAGACAACGAAATCGTCGCTTGGATTTCGCAATCCTATTTCCTTTGAAGTAGGGTGTCAAATTCCTAATCTTTCATCAAAGCGTTACGTACCTTCGAAATTTGATTGTCTTTTCTCGTTGTTATAACCGCTACGAAGGCTTCTTCTTTTTCGTCTTCTCAGTGGTTCATCTTTCCCAGAAGAAATCAAATTAAAATTAGGCTTTATATTGTCATTGTTGCTTTTTTTTTTGGGGGGGTATGTTTGGGGATAAAAAGGTCAACTAAAAAAAGTGGAGGTTTAGCGATGTTGGGTGAGAATCGCAGTGGGTTTAAAAGTTGTTTCTTTCATTTGGCTGAATGGCATCCTTTGGAATAGCATAGCTGATTAGGGCATCAAGCCCTCTTTGATTTATCCTCTTTTTTTTAATCAGGTAATATGAATTTGCTCTTCGCATTAAGTCTATTTAGGATTCTATATCTTGCTATTTTACTATTTTGAATTTAATGAATCAATTGCGTTTGAATGTGTATAATGTGTATTACAATTTAGTCATTTTCTAATTTTTAATTAAATACAATATCGCCTATTAGCAATATTCAACGAAGTAAAAACAAAGTAGTATAAGTAACAACCTAAGGAAGATCAAATTTTTATGTAATATGTATATGCATTTAAGTTACTCTTAATCTTAACCTGGAAATTACTATGGGCAATTTCATGATATAGGTGGTCTATTGGCCTAAGCTTATGCTTGCTTTGCAGGTTTAAGATTTGTGATTCGTTGTGCAGAGAGCTGTAATTTACTACTTTCAAGGTTTTGAGTGTTCTAATGTTCAGTAAGAGCTTTTCATTTGCTAAAGCAATGGGCTGCTGTGGTTGCTTTGGCTTCACAACAAAGCCCAAACAATTGTCACGGCCCAATTGCAGGTCAAACTTTCGAATGTCCCAGGAGTTTTTGCTAGATGAAGAAATAGAAGAAGAGGATGATTGTTCATATAATGGTGAGGTTACCAGCAGTGCTTATGGAGATGAAGTTGAGAATCTAAGCCGTGCCAAGTGTTCTGAAGAGATTTTGAGGTTCAAACTTGACAATGGATTTATTTGCAGGCAATTTCCTGTCAAGGAAACCAACAAGATTATTCGCTCAGAGGTTAGCATAGAAATGAATTTTGTTGCCTTCGATTTCTCTGAACTTTTTTGACATATGATGGCCTTATTCTTGAGTCTGCCACTTTGTTATCTTTGATATGAGTGCTGCTTAACCTTTACTATGTGTGTCAGCTTTGCAAATATGCATGTATCGGGCGACTTCTGTCACTTTACACCTCTTTAACATGCAAAATTGTTTCCTTCTGAGCAGATGTGCAATTTCTTAGTGGATTTTGATCTCATGGATTTATTGTGTTTGTGATGGGCATTTTATGGTGGGGTGCATGAGGAGTTTGCTATTATCATGTTGTTCATTATGCGTCTAAATAGTTCAACTGTATTGCTAAGTTGATGGACGATCAGTTTGGAGACTAATATGAGCTACTTATGCAGCTTTTGATGCTATCAATGAAGTGTAGCATCACTGTTCTTCCCTCTTGCGGGAATGTAGCTCTGTTCTGAATTTGGTCTTTCATTTGTTTCATGATTGTGGCTATTTTAGCATCTACAGTTTTATTTGCTATGGTAGTATATCTCATTTTCTTTTCCACTGGAGGAAACTGATACTGAAATGTCATGTACATTAATATTGTTGTCTTGTGGATGTGTTTCAGCATGAGAGATATTTTGTGTGCTTTGTATTATGTAATTATACGAGTAAACTTCATTTCATTGTTGTTGTTTCTTATGCTTAATATGTTTTGAAATTTCAATGTCATTTTCAGGATGAAAATGGGAATAAGATGGTTAATGAGTATGTGCGTGAATACAAGATTGGTTCTGGTAGCTATGGGAAAGTGGTAAGGATATCGTTGATAGACACTTACATAATTTTTATAAAGGAATTAAATCTTACTATTTTGTTTGTTTGAGGGCAGGTTCTATATCGAAACAGTGTAGATGGAAAGCACTATGCAATTAAGGTTAGTAGCTTGTTTCAATGCAGAAGCGTTCCTATGAGGGTTAAAATGGCAGTTAAAACTGAGAATGAATGTTTTGATGCAATTCTGATGCAGTATTTACATGGCTAGTGTATGGCTCCACTTGGAGCTGCATTTATTTGTTTAGTAGCAAAGTTGAAGCATTTTAAATTAGAGAAACATTTTTTCTTTCATTAGGTTCTTATAGGTTACGACGTTATATGGGATTTGGTGTTTTTGTTTTCTGGATCTGTTACAATTGAATGTCAAATAAAGGTTTCATCTGCAATCATGTGTTTTTCTTTTGCTTTTTTTAATATTTATATTACAGGCCTTTCATAAGTCTCATTTATTAAAGCTGCGGTTGCTCCATCAGAGACTGCAATGACTGATGTTCTTCGCGAGGTATTGGCTTGATATTTTGTTTTCCTGATGTAACCACTCATATATATGGTGGATCAGACTTTCCTTTTTGGGGATTCAAATCTTTCTTATTTCCCATAGAGCCATATGAAGTCTATTTTATGTCTGCTGTTTAGTGTTGTTTAGTGTACAGCAGTCTATTTGGTTCTTTATGTTTCTTGGTAAGTTCAAAAGTTGCAATTTTCATTCTTCAAGTTTGATTTAGAATTTTAATCTAGTGCATTGGGTTTATATGCCATCAGTTTATGAATTGCTATTTTAGGTTATTCTTAATCTAGCACTTTCATCCACCCTCCTTTCTCTTTCCTTGCGTGATGACAAATGTAATTTGCCCCACTTTGAAATTTTCCTTTTTTCTCCTTTTCTTTTCTCATCTTTTCTTCTAGGAGATTTTTTCACCTTCTCCTATCACAGCTCTCCCTGTCTCATACCCCTGCCACCCCGCCATGCCCCCCTCTCCACCACACACAGTCTTAATTTTCTTTGATGGGTTTGCCAGAATGAGAACAACCACAGTTTTGAGGAAGAGTCCCAAACTGTGTCATAGGATAGCAGTAAAGGATGATTTTCGTAAGTTGCCCTATTTTATTTAGCCAAAATTTTGTATGCTTGTGGTAGAATTGGAGGGTAAATGTGCTGCATCATTATTTCTTTTATACTATTTTCACTTCCTGACCATGGGAGTATTAAGAAGGAAAAGGAGAAAGCCAAGGGAAAAGAATGGAGGAACAGAACTGTGCAGAGAGCGGAGAGAAATATAGAAGTTATTGTCATATTTTTGTGTGGTCCCTGTGTTGGTGAGAACCCATCAAATTAAGTTCCTGGTTTAGTCTTTTGCCCCTATCTAATTTGGTTCTCTTTTTCTCATATTTAAAGGCTGTTATCCTCCTGCAGTCCTTTTCTATAAAATAAATTGGAAGCTAACTCAGTCTCCAACTCTTTTCGTTTCTTTTAATGGAAATTCAGTCTCTAATTGAGCAAAAGAATGAGCTGATATTTGGTTTTAATATGTTGGCATTGGTATTTTGCCATCCACTATGTATTAAGAAAGAGGAAGGGGAAGAAGAGAGAGAATTTGTAAAACTATTTGGTTAATTTCCTTGGGGCAAAGAGGGAAGGTGGAAGAATATCGGGAAGTCTAGGTTCGTGTGGAGAGCATCTAAAGGGCTGCTTTAATTGTCTACTGTTGATAAGTAGAGTACTTCTTATTTTTAGATTACTGGCCATATTTATCGTATGCATTTTTCTTGCAGGTTCTAATTATGAAAATGTTGGAACATCCTAATATAGTTAATCTCATTGAGGTGATTGATGACCCAAGAACGGATCAATTCTACATGGGTATTTATATTTCCTCTTTCTTTTCTTTCTCTATCAAGTGATGTGCTCAAAAGAGTCATTGAGTTAGCCTTATTATTGACTGCCATTGCCCTTCTTTTTGTTCAGTTCTTGAATATGTGGAAGGCAAATGGGTTTGCGAGGGTTCTGGTCCTCCAGGAGGCATTGGAGAAGATACTGCTAGGAAGTATTTGCGAGATATAGTATCTGGGCTTGTGTACCTCCATGCTCATGTAGGATTTTAAACACCTACTTTTGTGCATGATTTCATTTCTTGTTTCAATTCTTTTTTCTAATTTGCACTACTTTATCTGGGTACATGTGTGTGATATGGTCCAACTAAATACATGGTTACATATATATGAATAAAGTTTTTCTTTCAAGCATGTGTAGAGAAGATGAAGTTGTTTTTTCTTGTCTTGCTCTTTTTCCTTGTTTGATCATGTTCATGCAAACACAAACACGGTTCTTAAGGTTTTCAGTTTAAAAGCTGCTTTCCTGAAGAAGAGAGTTGGCCAGTTGTGATATCTATGATATAGATGTTCAGCATCATGTCCATGCATGTTTAATACCCTGTGTTTTGATGTTTTGATGACGAAAGTTGTTGATCAACGGATCTTCTAATTTTCTTGTTGTGGTATTTCTTGTCCCTGAGTCCTTACTACTGGTTGAAAGTTTGCACATTCTCCCATGAATTTTACTTTTTTATGTAAAGTATCTTGTTTCCTGTGATACAAAATAAAGTCATTTGTTACTTATTGCTTACCTGTGTCTTCTTTTATTCTAGAATATTGTGCATGGAGATATAAAACCTGATAACTTGTTGATTACTAGCATGGGTACGGTGAAGATAGGAGATTTTAGTGTCAGCCAGGTGTTTGAGGTGATGATTCTACTGCACCCTTAAATGTCCTCATATATATGACTTGAATGATAGTATTAAAGTTTTATTGTTTTTGACTGTGGAATTTATGTATACATATTTATATTGCTCTCTCTCTCTCTCTCTCTCAATGAACCTTTCTTATTTTGTGCTGTTTTACTGTTTATTATTTCAAATATAAATATATGAGCTACAAATTTTGTTGATAGGCAGTTTCTCTTAGACATGAGCTATTGCAGAAGGGGTAATTTACTTGATAGGATACATGCAATTGTTTTTATAAGTTCAGTGCACTAAAAGTTTATTGGATGAAGCTCATTCGAAAAGATTTGGTTGAAGGTTTTTAACAGAACTTTGTCCTCGTTAGCTCTTATTCTCTTTGTCGCATTTTTATTTCCTTTCTTTCACTTTTGTAAGTTCCATTGAACTTAAAAATCTTTTTTGGTTCTGTGGAAGAAAGTTTTGTATTTGCTCTTGTGAACAGAATCATTTTATTTCTGTAGGATGACAATGATGAGCTTCGCCGTTCTCCTGGGACTCCTGTTTTCACTGCACCTGAGTGCTGTCTGGGTCAGTGTTCCCTCTGTTAGCTCAAGCTATGCTCTAGTATCCTGAAGATTAATTAGAGAACATAGTGTATGTTTGTTTTTGACCATGCATGAAATCTGTCAACAGGTTTAACATATCATGGAAAAGCTGCAGACACATGGGCTGTAGGAGTTACTTTGTATTGTATGGTACTGGGAAAATATCCATTTCTTGGAGAAACACTTCAGGATACATATGACAAGGTATGCGGATTGCTTTCTGTCTATCTCTCTCTCTGTCTCTTGTGCACACATGCACACATTCTCTCTCTTGCTTTTCCTTTTTGTTATATCTCCCACAGCCAACAACATCATTCATTTTCTTTCTGCAGATTGTTAATAACCCTTTAATTCTGCCTAATGACATGAACCCAGAATTGAGGAACTTACTAGAAGGACTTCTTTGCAAAGGTTAGTGAAATCTTTCTTTCTGATTTTCTGGTCTGTTATACTCAGAGCTAATGTTTATCAATTGCCCTACCATTTATTTCTCACTTGGCCTTGCTGTCCTTGGTGATTGTGAAAATGTAAAATATTTTTCAGACCCAAAACAGAGGATGACTTTGAATGTTGTAGCAGAGCATTCATGGGTTATTGGAGAAGATGGACCAATCCCCCAATACTTGTGTTGGTGTAAGCGTAACAGCTACCAGAGGGAAGAATCTAATGGGAGAAGTGATACTCACTTGACAGAAACTGACTAGATTATCTTCTGGTTTTGATAATTTTATGTACAGTAAAAAAACTAGGGTCTTCTTTTTGTCCTCTTACACTTTCTAAATTTTGCACCAGAGGCAGATACAATAGCTAAGACTGGAAGCAAAATTTTCTGGAATACATGAGATAAGGTATACTAGGTTCCTTTGATGCAAGGATTGAATTTGTGAGATTTATTATCTTAGCTTTCACACCCCACCTCAGAAGCTTCAGTTTGTGCAGGTTTTCTTCATGCTATAAGATATTTACAGTGTATCAACATTTGCAATGGCCTCTTAGTTTTGTAATGAGAATTAAAAATGTCTTCTCATCGGTTTCACAGCAGTGAACTGATTGTATAGTGAACTCATCAAAAGCTTCAGATGAGAACTGCTGTTGAGAGAAGCATTCTACCTTCATTTTGCATGTTGGGAAATTTTAATTTTGTATGTTTGTAGGTTTTAGACAAAGTTTGGTTGTTTTTGTTACTTTTGCTTTCAAGAATGGCAAAAAGTATGATTTATTTGTACAATATGAAAGTAGTATTTTGTTTGACTTATTACAATGAAACGTGAGAATTACATTTAATTTACTTGTAAAATGAAAAAAAAATGTTTTTTTATTAAATTAGAGAAAAATATGAAAGAGATAATTAGTTGAGTTGGAAAGATGGAACTCATGGAGATGAGTGTCCACAGAGTAGTTTGAATGATTCAGGTAAGCATTTCTCCATATCGCACTGGACTTGGCCTCCCTGATTTTGCTCTCATAAATTGAAAACATCCATCATTTGAAGAAAACTTCCAGACATTTGCTGAGGATGATCTACTCCTTATCGGACTTGTCAAACTGACATCTACGTCACCTTCATGGCAACTTTCATGTTCGACAGTCTTGACATAATTGTGTGGCCTATACGATTTCGGAAGAATATGTTCTTCATTTAAGCTGCTTGGTTTGCTCTCTATTATATATTCAAGAGTAGAAACCACCTGGAACAAGATATTATCAGTCAACCATGTACAAACACATAAACATTCGAGTATTTGGCTTAATAATAGGTAGGTGTCCCCCTAGACATGAAGTTTTATGATCTCTTTTGTTAAAGCCTAATTTTAAGATCAAGTTTAATCTATCCGAAAATTGCGAATACTTATCATCTTTTCTGATAATGGTTCTGATCAAGTTCAATATTGCTTTACAGTTTCTGTAATTAGATTTTGCTTGCAATGCCCTGACATTTACCTCATCCATGGGTAATCTTTTCTTTGGATTTTTGCTTATACATTTTTGTGCCAGTTGGGCCATCCTGTAAAGCTGGTAGACATCATGAGAATTAGCAATTCTAGGATCAAGTAGCTCTAGATACCTCCTTTGCTTGAGAAGTGCTCTTGCCTGTGGAAAATTAGACATAATGTAACTCTACATTCTGATAAGCAAGAAACCCCTAGCCCAGGCATATATCTTGATTCCATGTTTATCAGGTTAATATAAGAGTAAATGTCATGTCTTATAGATGAAAAAAAAAATAGACAAAAGAAAGAACAAGAAACGAATTTGGAGAGGGGGGAGGGGTGGTAAAGAAGCAATGAGTGTAGTATTAAGACAAAACCGAAAGGTTTATTCTAAACGTAAGATTATAGTGTTTTGCATATTACCCATGTCAAAAAACCCTTTTGCCCCAGCTTCTTGTCCATGGTCCTCTGCCCAGTTATCAGCTCAAGTAGAACCACACCATATGAGTATACATCTGTCTGGGTAGACATTGTCCCATTCTCAAGAAATTCTGGAGCTAAATAATAAGATGTCTGAATATTCTCCTGCTTCAAGTGCTTATCCGATTGCATTGTTGCTAGCCCCAAATCTCCAAGCTAACAAAACATATAGTAAGTAACATTTAACATGGAACTTCGAATCAGTGTATAAAGGCTTTACGACGTTTAGATTCAAGTCGTTACCAGTGGTTCAGAGTCATGGTTTAGAAGAATGTTACTTGATCTTATATCTCTGTGAATGATGTTGTTTTCATGTAGATGGTTTAGTCCTCTGGATGCACCCAGCGCTACTCTTAGCCTCTCTGTCCAAGTCAATGGCATAGGGTGATATTCTGCTTGACATGGCACCATTTTCTACGATATTATTAGCTAAAAGCCTTGTGCTGAACAAAAAAAAAACAAAACCACTGATCCAGAATATTTTTTTGTCATATCCTTCTCCTTACTCGATAAATGTTGATTTAGTGAACCATTGCACACATACTCGTAGACAAGCAGCCTATGACTTCCTTCTGCACAGCATCCCAGCAGCATGACCAAGTTGTTGTGTCTAACTCTGCTGAGTGTATCTATTTCTGACTTAAATTTAATGGGTTCTTGAAAGTATATATTGTTGTTTGCTGGCTTAATCACAATATTCAGCTTATTTTCTAGCTGACCTCTGAAAGCACATTGAGCACCACCTTTAGATAGATTGTTCTTTGATGAGAATCCATCCGTAGCAGCATGGAGTTCCACATACGTGAAACCTTTTCTCAATTCCATATTTTGTCTTCTATTGTCACAAATGGTGCAGGCTGGACTTCGAAAAGTTTCCTCAGCTTGCAACCCTATGATTGAATCTGCAGAACTGCTGGTATGTGTAAGTTTCTGATTTTGACTCACTTGATTTGCTTCTGCTTGACCTACAGCATAATTATCAATATTATAACTATTGCATCCCATCTTTTCAGTGAAACAATCTAGGAAACACAATAGTATGAAAATGAAACAAGAAGAAAGATGTGTCCTTAACAATGAACTGGTGAGGGTAACTAGGCAGATAAGAGTAGTAAAGTAATTTGTCACAGTTTATCTTACATCTCGGAAAGAGTTCAATGCTGAAAAGATCTTCTTCTTCCGGGGCCCCTGACATCATATCATCATAAATTACACTAAATTCGTTGAATTTCTCTTTTGGTCCTCTCAATAGCTCAATCCTATTATTCCTCTTCATCCTTGATATCCCACATGATAGCTTTTCCAGAAAGATTTTCTTGTTTTTCTTCATCTTCCTGTTTCATATGTGAACTTTTTGAATCAATATTCAACAGGGCAATTGCTGCTTCTGTTAAACAATCTATTTAGTTATGCTTTGAATGAATCTAAATCTTTGGTTGCTTGTGCAATTTTTTTCATTCTGATTTGATTTTTGCTGTACCTGTCCAGAATAACCCATGTTGCCTTCAAATCTTCCGCAGATTTCAAGGCCACAACTGCTGGTGAAGCTCCTGCAGACACTTCTATCCTAAATTCAACCTGAGATATCCATGAATGTATCTACCATTAGCTCACAAATTTTTACATAAAAATACATTGAAAGCTTAATAATTAATCTAACTTTTTCTCTGCTGGAGAACCTACTTCTCAACAAAATGGGGTGACTGATAGCAAGCTAATAGCATGTGATAACCCCTTTTTTTTGGATGAAATGTAAGACAGTGATTAACTTGGATAATTTTATACCAAAAGCTATTCTTGGCTGACTTTCAAGGTGAATCATGTGGGATCCATAGAACAGAAGAGTCTTGTGATATATGATATTGTTTCAGAATGAACTGAAATGTTTGGGTATTAGTTCTTTTATTATTGGTTAATCATGGTTTGAAATTCCATTGTTCAAGGATATTCTGCTTAAAATAAACCAATATAGAAGTCAGAACTATTCTTATACCAATGGTATATCCATCCTCTTTAACCTGGTGGTTTCCATGCTTAAGAAAGATGTTACTATAAAGACTGGAAATGTAGTTGACTACCTTTTCTGCTTTGTAAAGCTTTGATAGGTCCATTATTTCAGCATTGCTTTCATACGCCTCCTTCCTTGCTGCTTCCCTACCAACAATTCTGTGGTTTGATCCAAACTTTGAACTGGAGTCCACTTTGGCTCTGTATCCCACTTTAAAAGAGTGGAGAAAATTGAGTTTGCATAAATTGAAACAAGCAAATTGATAAATAATCTCATGAGTGCGAAAGGCATGAATGAAGGCTTACAGAGCTTCCTTGTTCCTTTGAAAGATAGCCTACTAGGATTGTTTTTATCATGAAGGACTCCAAGGAGGACAAGCAAATCTCCAGGCTTGAGAAATAAGGCATGAAGTGCCCACCTAATGGCGCTTGAACAAGCTTCTTTAGACGCATCCTGGATCACCACTACCCTTTGAACTTCCATTGGAAAATTCACAACCCCTTAAATCTGTATAGAGCTATCTCTCTATCATTCTTTGCTATAACAAGTTATAGTTATCCTTGGAGGTGACAAGATAAAGATCAATGGGGTTCATGTAGTTTTGTCCATAATCACAGATGACTGGAAACTATTGTTGCAAAATATATGGGACTGGAAATACTGAAAGGTGTTTTTTCTTCCATGACAGAAACCAGGCTCACTGACAGTTGATCCAGGAGAACGTATCTGAAGTTGCTTATTTGGTATATTCCACAACTGAAATGAAGAAAAGATTCTATTGGCTGTTTGTACAAAACATAAAATGGCTCAAATGTTTATATCCAGTAACAATTATTATATATTAATTCACTGCATCTGCAAGCCCTGTCAATTCCAAAGCCAAGCATCGTCAACCATTCCTGTCTTTGTTGTTTGCACCACAAGAAACTAGGACAGCTCTGATGAAAACGAAGTTTTCTTATCGGTGAAACTAGGAATGTGGTTTGCTGTTTTGTTGGACTTATAAAATTGTAAGTGTCTGCAACGAAAAGCACAAAGTTCTTCAGTTAAATGACAATTATTTAAACCGAATCAAATTTTTTAATTAAAAATTTGACAAACTCATGGTTAGTTTTATCAGGTTGTAACACCATCAAAACTGAAACAATTTTTGGTTTACAATGCCAGTAACAAATATTCATGCAACAATCGGCTCGTTTTACTCGTAATTCAATTATGTATAGATAAAGGATAAAGTACATTTCCCCATAAAAGGCTATTAATTAATTGCTTCACCGCCACCTAATTGGTATTTCCACATTCCTTTTCTGTTCTTTATTTTTCCCAGATAAAGATAAAAGTAACATTTAATCTAGCAGAAAATGAAGATCCAAACGGACATCAATGACTTCCAATCCCATCTATTGTTAAATAGCCTATGCAATTATCTGTTCGTAGACAGACTTAAACTGAATTAAAACATTGAACATTATATTAGAAAACCATTTTTGCAAAACATCTCAAAGTCCTTAAACCTTTTCATCTCTCCTCAATATAAAGCAGAAGCAGTAGAAAGCACAGGCCAAACGAAAAATAATATAGGGGGCAAAGCAAAGGACAAAAGGTTGACAGCATGGCCAAAATTGGCTAACCCTAACGGATATTGAATAAAAGGTCGTCTAAATTTTGTTGAATGCAACTATGTCACAACTTTGAACATATTCATTGCAGGGCTCCACTGTGAGTTGCTCCTCAATAAGGGTATCAACAGATACAAGGTCGTCCACTATAGTAAGCATGATCTGGAGCTTCTTAATGCCGTAACCAACAGGAGCCAGTTTTGCTGCACATATTCAACGTAAAAAATAAAAACATTAGGGAAGGCATTGTGCATACAAATCTTTTTGACACATTTAAAGCGATAGAAATTAAAATCAAACCATACATGCTCCCCACAAAAGACCAGGCATCTCAATGGCTCGAACAGCTTCTTCCAACTTCTTCATGTCAGTCTCGTCATCCCATGGTTTGATATCCATAAGCACAGAAGACTTTCCACCTGCAAGATTCAAAAACTGTCAAACGAATACAACAAACAAAGCAGCAAAATGAAAACAAATGCATCCTTCACATGGAAAACAGACAACTTATTCTAATCAACACAAATACTTACTCTCTTTCTTCTTAGCAGATTTCTTAGCAGCTTCCCTCTCATCTGCTGCCTTCTTTTCCTCCTCTGTCTCATCACCAAACAGATCCAAGTCATCGTCATCATCTGCAGCGGGAGCCTGCCAGTAAAAACATGTAAACAAAAATTGACTAAACAATTCCACTAGAAAAACTGATAAATCTGGTGACCAATGCAGAGATTAAATAGACTATCCAACAGTAACATTAAGCTTCAAAGTTATTAGCCCTATTTTAAAGGCAATTGCTCTTCTTGCAGTAAACTTGCGGAAACCAAGGGAAACAGAAAATTCAAATTTTGAATCCAAATTTCTTAAGGAGGAGGAGCAATGACGATTGAGTAAGGCTAGGTTGTTAATTTAAAGGCATTCCATAAAGGGCAACACCAAGGTAGAGTTCTTTAGATAACATTCATGAAGTTCCCAATTTATAGTGATCAAATTATAACTATAATTGATAATCAAAATAGGCAGCTGGACAGAGCGTCTTAAATAGATCACACATACAAGAATTTAAGAGAAATTGAAATTTTTAATATTTTATTTATATGGGTGATTTATGATAAGCTTCCATTGCTCATCAACTGTCATCAATTTTGTGTAAAGAGGTTGTTTTCAATTAACTATTTACATATTCTTGATGCACTCGTTGAGTTATATTGATCTACAAGCTTTAATTTTTACCTTTAGTTTTCATTAACTCGTTTTCAACAGGGAACTCCATGAACTTCACTCTAAGTCTTGCCCTTGCTATAACAACCCTTGACTAAGAGGTAATGAAACTAGAACTTAAAAGACAAATATTAATTGGGTCCAAGAAGTTAATTTGTGACACACCTCGGCTTTAGGAGATTCGGCTGCAGCAGCTTTGCCACCAAGTCCTACGCCAACAGCATTTCCAGGGAAGCTACACACAATTAAAACAACATAGGCATTTTTAGACATTATATTCAGTAAAAGTTCAAAGACAGATCTTACCGTGTACCAAAAAATTCTTATTCGTAAAAGGGCAACATGGTAATAAGAGAAAAAAAAAAACCATTACCTGGCGGCAAGATGGGAAGATACACAGTTATACCACTGGCTAACATTGGGAAAAGAATCACCAGGATTCTTCAAAACAGCAGCATAGACTTTTATGTCATCCTTGGTCAGCTTATCCCTGAAAAAAAAAAAAAGAAACCCAAAAAAATTCACTATCAAATCTATGAAAGAAATATACATATCTTTGCTTTTGAAAAAAAAAAATTCACTATCAATATTTAAAAAGACGAATTGGGTTTTAGGAAAATAGTATGAAGAAGATAATTGGGGCATACCCAGAGATGTATGATTTGCCAGAGAGGAAGTCATCAAGGGATTTAAGGCCAGACTCAGTGTGGAGATCTGAGAAAGTGATGGCCATTTTGGGAATTGGAAGAAGATAAAATGAAGCAAAGCCGGAAAGAGAGGAAAGCAGAGTGTGTAAGTATGAGTGGTATATATATGCAGTAGTAGTCAAATGTGAGGGTACCAAAACCCTAGATATATTGCAATGGCATATTCCCCTTGGATGGCTTCATCTTCGGAGCTTCAAGAACCGGACCCGGTTCAAACAAGGCATAACCACAATCGAATATCTCTGTAACTTTAATAAAAAGTCTATCATATATACAAATCATTTTTATGTGATGGTGAAAACGTTACGGCGTTATGTGATAATTTAATAGGATATATTAACGTTACATAAAATAAAATAATAAATAATATTTTTTAATTATTAATTAATTATTAATATAAAGAATTTTATTAAAGTAATTAAAATTTAATTTAAATTTTATTAAATAGATTTTTAAAATAAAAATAAATCCAAATATCAACCAGGATAGAGAAATCCCTGGCAAATACTCAATATCTCTTTTCGCATTGAATCTGCAAAGTAAGTTAATACAAAGTGCAGCATAAAAAGGACAGCATAGTCAACATAAAAAAGACAGTATTCACGAATCATTTAACCTAGTCAGAATAATTTCACATCAATGCAGTGATAAACCCCGTTAACCCAAAAATACCACATTATGTTTCAAAAGACAGTCACAGCTGGTGATTCACGCATAATTTTCAGTTAAATCTTAGACAACATTTTAAAAAGTGTAGGTAGTTGCACAGTTGCTTTAGCCTATAAAGAACCTAAATAAAACTTTGCCAGAATGAAGGTACAAAACCACAGATGATATTAAAATCATTAAAATATCCGTTTAATACCAAGAAACTTTATAGGGTGATTTTCAAAGCAAGATTACATATATAGAATGAGAAGTATATATCCCCATCGATTGAAGACTTCACATGCCAAACTAAAATCAGAACCACCTATGTAGTTACTATTTTATCAGAGTGCCTTGAGTGGTGATTTTGATATGCTGTCTAAGTACATCATTTTAATCAAGATTGAATAGACCCTTTGTTTTGAAGATTGTCTTCTACTACTAGAAATTTAGCATGCCTCAAATGTTGCATTTGATCATTTACATATCATACCTAGTTTTCAAATAAAAAGATTGTGATTGTTTCATTTGAAATACTATAATTTTACTACTGAAATAGAATTTTATTCTAGCAATGTAATTTTCCAGTTTCCTTATTTTCTTTGTGATCCTATCTTCTGAAATAAAACTATTTTTTATCTCAAGGTGAAAACTATATATCAGCTGTAAATTGTGATCATATTACTTTGTCGAAAAAATAACACATTCAAGCACCTCTCACCAGAAGAAGAAGAAGAAGAAAATCCAAAATAACAATGCATATAAAAAGACATTTTTCACTAAGACAGAGAGTAAGAGAGAGACCATTCTCATGGATGTAAATAGGAGGGTTTCCATAAGCTTTCTTGAAATGCTCTAGGAACCTTTTAAGGCCCCAAGGTAAAATAGGATATCAGGTCAAACAAGCTGGTTAGTGATACATTAAACTAACTCCATAAACTAATAAGACACTTAATTTTGCCCATAAACTCTCACCTCAAATGTTGATGCATATTGTAGATACCCAATTTGGTTTTACAAAATAATTACATTCTAAGCGTTTTTAGAGTGTTCCAAGCGCTGAAGTGTCTAAGGTGTTCTAAGTATAGAAGCGCCCAAGGGTGTTCCAAGTGCAGAAACGCCCAGGGGCATTCCAAGTACATAAATGTCCAAGGTGTTCCAAGTACAGAAGCACCCAGGGCGTCCCAAGCGCAAAAGCGCTTAGGGCGTTCCAAACGCAGAAGCGCCCAGGGGCGTTTCAAGTACAAAAGCGCTTAAGGGAGTTCCAAGCGCAGAAGCACCCAAAGGCGTTCCAAATACAAAAACGCTCAGGGTGTTCCAAGCATAGAAGCGTCCAGGGGCATTCCAAGTATAGAAGCGCCTAAAAGAGTTCCAAGCGCAGAAGCACCTACAGAAGCACTTAGGGGTGTTCCAAGCACAGAAACGTCTAGGGTGTTTCAAGTATAGAAACGCCCAGGGACGTTCCAAGCGCAGAAACTCCCAAAGGCGTTCCAAGTATAAAAACACCTAAGGGTGTTCCAAGCACAGAAACACCCAAGGCGTTCCAAGCACAGAAACGCCTAAGATAGTTCCAACTACAGAAAGTTCCGGGGTGCCAATTGTAGAAGCGCCCAAAGTGTTACAAGCATGGAACAACTATTTGTATGGGAAAGTGAAAGTAACTCAGAACAAGTGACAGGGTTCATGAGTTACTTTCACATGTGGGATGTTTTAGAGAGTTTGACTCGGTGGCTCAGATATGGAGATAGTTAAGAGGATTTTCTCTTAACTTTTTTTGAAGTACATGTGCTTTACCCTTTTTGTCTTTCTTTACTTCTTAAAAATACACGTGACACACTATCAAATGCCATTATTCCATTTATTTAAAACTTACACCCACTACTTAACTACATTATCATTCTTCTAATACCCCGCAAAAAGTTCTTCAACTGCCTTTACATGATAAGTACGTTCTCCATGATTAAACGTGCTTTCTCAACTACTCTTAAGAAACTGCTATTATTTAATATAAATAGGAGGTTGAGATGTAAAGAGAAGGGGATTTTTGGAGACTTAGCAAAAATATTGCCCTGAAAGCTTTCTTTACATTCCTACAAATATTCTTTTCCTTTAGCTTTTCCCAATTACCGTAATCCGTCGCTTTCTCCACTTTTCTCATCCTTCACCACCTGCCACTCGAAAAATCACAGTCCCTCTCTCCCTCCCTCTCCTCTCAACATGTAAGGGTTCATACCTCTGGTCATGGATTAGTCACAAATATATGCAAGCAATTGCTTGTAGTACTAAAAAAAAGTTTCCATCAAAATAGGAAGGCTGCTTAGGCTATTGTGAGAAAAGACCATTATATGTAACATGATTCCAATAGAACGGGCAGTCGAACACCTTCTACCTTTAGTTTCCACATCAGACCAATTTATAACGAAATTTGCCAAAGACTGCCATCTAATTACTAATACTACAAACAAAAAATTCAAATATTGCACAATGTTAAAATCCCATACATAAAATGAAAGCAATGTCAATGAACAGGAGAAATTAAATCATGCCAGGATGAGTAAAATTGTTCCATATACCGGGTGTCCTCCCATCTTCAATAGCTGCACATTCATACTTTCCATGCCATGGCACAATATTTAACAGCATTAGGACTAGCATTATTTTTCCCAAACTTACATGCAAAACAGAAATTTAGTCAGGGTCGGGCCTTGGGTGAAGCCACCCAAGCAAGGGCTTTAAGCCCCAAATTTGGAGAGACTTTATAATTTTATAACATAATTAATTATATTAAAAAATATAAAAATAAAAAATAATTAATAAATTTACTTATTTTTTATTTTTTTTAATTATTTACTTAATAAATTTTAATTTTTTATTACTTTCTAATTTCTAGAATACTATATTACTTTCTAGAATACGATAGGACTTGTCTACTTGTTGGCTCCACTTCATTAGTTTCCATCACTGATATGATATGTTCATCCATCATGGCCGTCCGTTTAAAGATACGTAAAATAATTGGCGATTTGTTACCTTTTTCCTCGTGTTTTGTCCTTTGACCTTTTTTGGGTTTCTGCCTTTTGGATTATTCCAGGCCCGGATGCATGAGGTGACGCTTTCTGTCCCAAGCTGCACTCGCTTGCGGTAATACCACCACCATTTAAAACGACGCAGGGGGCTTGGAAAAACGACAAATAGAAAAAATATTCGTACGCATCGTAAACAATCAGCCGGTAACGTCTTGAAGCGGCCTGGACTGAATGGAAATTTGCAGGGACGAGGCTCCGGTTTTGGTTCTTTGTAAACATGTTAGCAAGTTACTTAGTCAAAGTTTTCTCCAGAAAATTATACGATTTTATTCAAAATTTTAATGGCTAAATAATAAAAATACTTGAACGTGCAGCGGCTTAACATAGCACAAGCTGTAAAACGATACTTCGGGGCAAGCATTCATAGTGACCAAAACTTTTTCTCAAGATTGATAGAAGAAAACTGATGGTTAATGTACATTGGGATTAAAGACTTTGTTGTTGCAATAATTTTTCACATGTTCATGAACACTCTAACAAACTCAAGTATAACATATCTCTTCCACTCTTTCCATCTTGTGTACAAGCCCCGAGTGATAGTTCGAGAATTCCTGCTCACCATTAGTGAATTTGCCTCGCTTCAATATGAATTTGTAGTTGGAGCTCTTGCCTTGTGAGGGCTATTCACATGCTTGATCCCATGATGATCCAGCTTCGCTTGTGACTGTTGGGGTGTCCTTGGTGTATCCCTTGTTGCATGGAGACGTTCTATCGAGGCTAGAACATCAACCATGCATGGCCTGTTCTTGGGATCCGTATGTAGGCATTGCAATGCAAGAGCAGCGGCAGCTTGTGCTCCTTTCTTAGAGTACTGCCCCCCCAACCTTGTGTCCATTATCCTTAGTACTTTTCTGTTGTCACTTAGGAATGGTTTTGCCCAGTCCACGAGTGTTTCTTCCGAAAACCCAGCTCTCTCATCATCCATTGCCCGCTTTCCCGAGAGTAACTCTAATAGTACAACACCAAAGCTGTACACGTCGCTCTTAGGGGTCAAATGACCTGCAAGGTTTAAAATAGTTCATTAGTAGGATAGACACACCTCTGCTGATATCTGCTTAATAAATTTTCCATTTTGAAAGAAGGCAGTAACATAACAAGTTCAAGAAAAGAAGAATCATCTCAATATACCGAGAGGTTGGTTTTCCCAATATCATCTTCTTCATAAGCAATAATTTCCAACCTAAAGTCTACTGAGAAATCTAAATTTCTACAACCCTAGTTTGACTTCCCCAAAGGAGCCTTGCTCTCAATCTTTCTACCTTTCCCCTTTCTTCACTCTACTATAGTTATAGTTGTCTGTATTGCAGGAGTTACCTCCACCTCTCGCAGTTTTTCTTTTAGTTTAATTCCCCTCTTCTTGATTGTATAAATGAAGGTTAGCAATGAAACAAACTGGTCTCTGGTATGATCATGTACCTAGTATATTAAGCATAATATGTTCAATAGCTCTGAGCCTCTGGCACATGTCATATACAGGGGAAAGAAGCAGAGACGTACTGCCTCAGTGAGAAAATGCTGTTATCTGGAATCTAGGTGTGCCAAAGCTCACAAGGAAATGAAGGAGATCGTACTGGATGCAATTTGTGTGGTATGACAGTTTTGACAGTAACAATAAGATTAGTACACAACTGTTATGAGGTTTGTTATAAACACCTTATTGTGTAACCTTGATTCGTTTAGTAAGCAAGCCAAGAAATTTGACTTCAGATGATTCACTAAGTTTAACCAGTATTTAATAACTACAAGCAATTTATGAAGAATCTCAAGCTTGACTAAAAAATGAATTCAAGGTGTGAAATCATTTACCAACCTAGTCAAGGTAAATTCCAAAAAAAAAAAAGGTGTGACAAAGATGATTATTTCTCCTTGGGCTATCCAGGGAACATATGGCATCTAAGTTTTCACTTGAACATCTCAAACATTTCAGAGTACAGAAACAGAGCATGCTTGTGCCAGTATAAATTAATATCAGCTTCCTCAAGATTAGTGTGCTCCAATTATGGTTGTAACAAATTAACTGTAGTGTAAAATTTCATTCTAGTCGTCGTTCATTCCATTTTCTTTCTCTTATTTTTCATTTATTTATTTTTATCATTAATAGCAAGCAACAGATAAGCATATGAAGATCCTACTGTCTCTACTTATTACCACGGTCACTCGTTTTCAAGTGTAACTCTTTCCATGGAAACAAGTATAGATGGTGTTCCAAAAGGTGATGCAAACCTGTTGCTACATATTCAGGGGCTGCATAACCTCGAGTTCCTACAACTCTGGTTGAAACATGGGTGTTATCACCAGTTGGACCATCTCTTGCCAAGCCAAAATCTGAAAGCTTTGCATTGTAATCCTACATAAGTTTACATGGCAAGGGCATTAAGTCATTAGATTAAATGTGCGTTTAATAGAAAATCTCAGATACACAACTCAATCATAAGTCAGAACTTTTGATGTGTCAGCATACCGAATCAAGAAGAATGTTGGAAGCCTTCAAATCACGGTAGATTACGTTAGCATTTAAACAATGTAAAAAGGACAATCCCCGTGCAACACCCATTGCAATATGCATCCGTGTAGCCCAGGAAATTGGTTGAACACCTTCTGAAAGATGAAAACAATAGTGGTTATGTTGTTAGTATGTGACAGCAAATTCTATCCTCAAGAAAAATTATCCACTGTGGAAAAAAAATGAAAAAGAGAAAAATGAAACATGAAATAAAAGTAACTCATATATGCAAAAATACCACCATCCTAAGAGCTAAACCACATCACTCCAGCTGTCCTACATAAGGCTTCTGCCAGTAGGAGACAACTAACTTCATATTGTGGTTTATCCCTCATGCTTTCTTGAAGCATTAATATACACCATATGATTTAACACAATAAGAAGAAGAATAATTGCAAAAGAGCACAGTCTGCAGAAAGAGACATGCTTACTCTTAAATAAATGATTCTCCAAACTTCCCTTTGGCATAAACTCATAGACCAAAAGTCTATTCTCAGACTCTACACAATAACCAATAAGTTTCACAAGATTTTCATGGTGAAGCTGACCCAAATAGTTAACTTCCGCCTACAAAGTTGATCAAAATGGAATCAGGAACAAAGATGAACTTGAAAAACCTGAAATAGTATAAATGAAACTTATAAACTAGAGTACATACAAGCCATTCCTTGTGGCCTTGAAAGCTTTCTGCCTTGAGTCTTTTGATAGCTACAACAATTCCAGTTCCTGGCTTGGTAGGAGCAAAAGTGTTCTCATCAATCCAACCTTTAAAGACACATCCAAAACCTCCCTCTCCAAGAAGAGTGTCTTGCCGGAAGTTCTTGGTGGCATTTTTAAGATCACTAAAGCTAAAAGACTTGAGATTGTTAGAAACAGATGTATCAGCTTTGAGATTGCCTGAAACAGGTTTATGAGGTTTTGATACTATGAATGCTTTGTTCGAGCCTTCTGGAGGTGATTTAGCAGTGGCAGAAGTTGATTCCTGCTTTGTCTTACTATGAGTCTTTGCACTACCTATAATAACAAAAAACAATAGTTATAAATTCATTGCCTTCAAAGCCATATCAAAGCTGCAGCCCATTAAAACTCATATGATACAAGAGAAACATGGAAATATAAATATACAAATATATATATATGTATATTTAATAAACAAATAATATTATTTTAATCCTGAGCTAGCAAAAACAATTCAAATTCATATTGCCTGACAACCCCCCACAACAGAAACCAAAATGTTCTGCTTATGATCATCATGAAGTTATAAACATGCAACTGAACCCCTTTGCATTCAGATCAGATGATGAGAAATGATCGACTATTAAGGGAATGGCCACTTCATTTAACCCAGCCGAACCAAATTAGTCATTTGATTTTAGGTTATCCAAAAAATTAGTCTTCTGATTCCATAGATTGGACGGGGTTAATCATTAAACCAAGAGTATTCAAGAATTAAGATTGTGTAGCAGCAAATCTGCCTAATCTACCTTCACACTAAGGTACCAGCAGAAATCAATTGTCAAGTAACTAAAGTTCTCTTTTTGGCTAATCTGATCAATTATCTCACAAACTTTACGAAGTTCATATTCTCATGAACATTTCCATGACAACATGCGGAAGTAAATGGAAAGCATTCCAAGGTGAAAAGATAGTATGGTTACTTGAGGAACATGCCAACATCCATCTAAACTCATTACTCATGGAACTTTCAAAAAAAAAAATTTATCAGAAACAGCAAGATTTTAGGACAAGGAAAAGCCAAGTCTTTCCTGGGACAAAACAAACTTAGATATCAAAGTAGAAGAATTAAAACCAACCCAAATATATATTTGGAAAGCTTATTTTTAGACCAAACGAAAAGAACAAACAAGCTTATAAGAAATAAATCAAAGGAAACCAAAAAAAAAAAAAAAACAGTGAGACTGACCTGAAAAGTTAGTGGAAGAAGCATGAGCGCACTTTGCAGGTTTAGGCCAGCAAATTCCCATGACGGAGGATCGGATGAGAGGAAGAAATGGTCAAATCATATGGAAGGAGAAGAAGAATATTAATTCTTGACGAAAACGATAACCCACTTAAAGGGCCAAATAATAAATACAATAGCAGAAGAAAATAACCCAAAGTCCATTCCATTGAAGGCTTTGGAATTAAAAAGGGCACGAAATAACCAAAAAAAGGAAAAAAGATTTGAAGAAGCAGGCAGTCGCTTAATTAGTCAATGGAAGGTGAAGCAAGCCTACGTTGAATGGAAATGTTTACGTCTTAAATTATTTTATAGTAGAATTTAAAATTCTACGTTTCAGGGCCCCCATTACAGTCCCGCATAGGAAGTAATGGCATTTGACTATTGACTTTTGAAGACGCGGATGCTCTGCAACCATGACTGTTGAATATTGAACCTTGAACTTTTCTTTTGTTTTACATTTCTTCCATTGCCATAAACGGTTCTTTTCTTTGCCTTCAATTTAAACGCGGGGCTTTGTCCATTAGGTTTCAATTAGAAAGATTAACCTGACCTCAATCCTACGAGACATCCCCGTCAACTAGGCCTAATCTCATGTTAGGAAAAGAGGGAGGCCTTGATATATAGGTTTTATTTGACCATATCAATGTACTATACGACACATGTCAAAAATTATTTGACATTATTTTATGTAAAAATAATGAGAGTCGTGTGCTGAGGTACGATGAGAAGAAAAAATTATTATTAAAGACATTAGATTCACGTTGGCATATTATATAATTCTATAATATGTTTAGCATTAAAATAAATAATATTGTCTTTAATAATAATAGTAATGTACTTATACATATAGGTACTTAACGACATAATATTTATCTACTTAATTATTGATGTATTTATTTATATCATTAAATAAATATTTGAATTTTAAACCAAATATTAAAGCCAAAAAAGAAAAAAAATTTATTTACTTCTATCTTTATTTATATAATTTTATTTAAATGTATTCATGTTTATAAGTGCATTTATTTCATTAATTTTTAGCTATTTATTGATAATATAAATATATTTATTTCATTGAAATAAATAATTTAGAAAAATATATATTAGATTATGTATAGTTAGCTATTATGGCATAAGTTGCATTTGAAATATATTTGTTTAATTTATTTTACATGTATATGGATGGATGTTTAGACCTTTAATAGGATAAGATAATGATGCATTACTATCATATTAGTACCGCCTATGAAAGCAACTTGGCTACATATAAGTAATATAGAATTTAATTTTTAGTGTTATATTTTTCTTTCTTTTTTAACTCACTAGTCCTTATTTTTGACTAATATCTAATTCTCCTCCATCTTTATTTTCTATTTTGTAAATCCATAATTCAGGCTGGTGAAGGCCTGAAGGGATAATTGGGCTTGGGCTGATCCTTCAAAACAAAAAAAAAAAGAGCTTTAGTGACCCATGTTGGCCCATTGGTGAGGAATTTTTTTGTTATTCATTTAATTTGCTGTTAGCATCGGCGTGGAGTCTTGAGAAGAAAGAAAACTCGATATATCAAGGAGAGAAGAAGAACAGAAGAGCAAAGAGCAAAGTAGGAAAAAGTAGAGAAGAAAGATGAGCAGCATCGGAACAGGTTACGATCTATCAGTCACCACTTTCTCTCCCGACGGCCGCGTTTTTCAGATCGAGTACGCCGCCAAAGCCGTCGATAACAGTGGGTCCGTTCCTCTTTCTCTTTTCATAATTACTATAATATCCATATACTTCTTTCCCATTTCTAGGTTGTCCAAATTCTAATTTTATTTTCATTTTTTTTATGCAGAACTGTAATTGGAATAAAATGCAAAGATGGGATCGTTATGGTGATGCTTTTGCTTCTTCTTTTCTTCCATTGCTTATTTTAAAAAAAAGAAAGAAAAAGAAGCAAATATTTAAGTGTAAACTGAAAATGGATGTTATTATTTTAGGGAGTGGAGAAGCTGATAGCATCGAAGATGATGTTACCTGGTTCTAATCGAAGAATCCACTCCGTTCATCGTCATTCCGGCATGGTATGTTATCCCCCTTCTTATTTTTTTTTGTCCATGTTGCTTTAATTCATTGCATCTTTAGCCACATTTGCAATGCTACATTTGGATACTCTCTCTTTCTCTGATATTGAATACTATAATTAGGCAGTGGCAGGATTAGCAGCTGATGGTCGCCAGATTGTGGCACGTGCTAAATCTGAAGCTACTAATTATGACAGGTTTTTATTGTTTTCTCTAATTCCATTCCCAAAAATTCTGCTTTAAAAAAAATTATATTTTTATATGCTCATCTTATTATAAGTTTCATTTTTTTTTTGGGTGTATGTAGTGTTTATGGTGAACCCATTCCTGTCAAAGAACTTGCTGACCGCGTCGCAAGTTATGTGCATTTATGCACCCTCTACTGGTGGCTCAGGCCGTTTGGGTGTGGGGTTATACTCGGCGGTTATGATAGAGATGGACCCCAATTATATATGGTTGAACCATCTGGCATCTCCTATGTAAGTTCATTTCTCCCTATTAGAGCTTCATTTTCCTTTCTATTTTGTTACTTGGTCTATTAGTATATTTATAGTTCCTCATAATTAATGATGGTTTTGTTCCTGTTTACCATGTGCGTGATAAAATTAATGTAGAGATATTTTGGTGCTGCCATTGGGAAAGGAAAGCAGGCTGCCAAAACGTAAGTTATAAAACTGTTTCCTTCATTTGGTGGAACTTAGAAGCAGACATTTGATAAAGTCATTTGGTGATGCAAGCTAGTTAGATGGGATGGACTTTTTGTTTTTTGCCTTCTCAGCCAGTGAAAGCTATTGCAGTATTTAGATGCGATTGTCATCCAGTTGAAAACCCTTTTAGTGGATGTAAATCCCTTTTTTTTTTTTTGGCTTATGTTTTCTCTCTTATGAAAACCAATCAGCAATGAAGATATTAAGATGTTTGCCCCTCTTATGCATTTCCTCAATATTGCGATTATTTTCCCTAAAGAGCAAAAATGGTTGCATAATGAAATTGAAATTTTTAAAATTTATATTCAAAATTTGAAAAAGAAAAACCCTCAATGGAGCCCAAGTAAGCCTTAATCCAAGTTTGTATTTGTCTTTTAATAGAAAAGAAAGTATAAAAATGTGGAGTGGATGTAGCCAAGTAGGAGGCAATGAGCTGAGTCCACCACTATCTGCTGTTCCATTACTTGTCCCTTGCCTATGAGCTATCAACTCAAGTCAACTTAACCTTAACATGAAACTAGTTGGGCCAAGCTACATAAAATGATTTTCTCCATTCTGTTTGCTTAGGGGCTATATCCTCCAAAAGATATAAAGAAGTAAAACCTTTCTTATGATCTCAACGTTTGTAATTTTTGGCTACTTCTTTCTCTCTGCATTCATCTTGTAAATAACTGAAAGTTCATCTTTGAATGTACTATGTGAACAGAGAAATTGAAAAGTTGAAGCTGTCAGAGATGACATGCAGGGAAGGGGTTATTGAAGTTGCCAAGATGTGAGTGTTGCCTATCTTAATTTCTTCCTGTTGCTGTTCTAATTTACCTATTTGGATTCTGGACGTGTTAACCAGTGGTTCTAAAATTGTTTGTGCATTTCTTTTTGTTTTTCCTGTTAAGGATTCTTGCTTGTAGCATCATCATTTTGAATGCTCGTCCCCTGTTATCCTTGCAATATGTATAATCTAGGCAACATCATCAAGTTGGTTTCCTTTTTATTTGGTTATTCTTTGCAACTTCTGGTTTAACACAATAATAGCTTGACTGTTTTGATGGTGGAAAGATTTATGTTTTCCCTCTACATAGCTAAAAACCAGCTGCCAAGAGTTTGGATAAAATGTAACTTTCAAGCATATGTTGAACCTCAAAAAGAGATAATTTTGCTTAAAGATCTTAGAAAAGAATGTCTTAAATTTAATTCATTAGTCTTCTTAATATCTCTGATGATGTAGGCTACTTCAACTGAAATGTAAAACATATAAAATAGTTTATTTTCTGGGTAATCTGATTTTATCTCCTATATATTGGAATTTGGTCCTGTACTTGCAGTGGAAATATTTAGCTTACCTAAGCCAGTAAGTCATAATGTAAGAATTAACTATATAAATCTTGTTTGGATTATGGATTGTCGTATCTCCTTTATGATCCTACATGGTACAAAAAACTGAAATCTCACTTGTCTGGCAGTAGAGGGCATTGTTTAGTTTCCTTTTCATTGGGAAGGCAGTGTATAGTGGTATGGTTTAACTTGCCATTTTCTTGCAGTACTTAAATAGAAAACAAATTAGAAGTGAGCAAGAGAACTCAAAACTTTTAAGATGGAGGAGGTCACAAGAGGAGTACTTTTGTTTGTACCTTAAATTTTCACATTCATCATGCATTTGTATACATGGTATTTTCCTTTGCCTTAGAATGCCAGTACTAGATTTAATCATGTGAGTTATTCTTAAGCAGCATATACAGTGTGCATGATGAAGCAAAAGATAAGGCCTTTGAACTGGAGATGAGTTGGGTCTGTGATGAGTCAAAGCAACAACATCAAAAGGTAATTCTTCACACCTTTTTTCTGATATGCATTTATTTCAACTCTCTACCTAGCTGCAACAACAAAATTCATGTCCCTTTCCTCCTAGACAAGGTTGGTTACATGAATTAGACTATGCTATTTTGCTCTTTTAAGACCATATACTAAATAAGATTACTAGATTAGTAAAAGTAAGGTCCTTGTTATGCTTCTACCCTTGTCCTTTCGGTGGCCTCTTTTGACATGAGTATCTTCCATCAAATCACATCTAATAGGAGCATAGATTGGCCTTCATCTTGCATATCAAGAACCACCTTGCAATGTTTCTCTTGTTTTATCTTCAATTGGTTCTATCTCCACTTGTTATTTAATGATTTTATTTTTGTCCTATATTTTCTTGTATGCTCAATAATAGAGGTGGTTGTTGGGTGGGTCGGGTCAGGTTTTGGTTGTGTCACTTTGATTTGGGTCATTTTGGGTTGAAGGAAATTCATATTAGTTTTGATTTGGGTCATGTCGCATTAGGTTAGATGGGTTGGACACTCGGGTTATTTGGGTTTAAGATGTTGACTTTAAAAGTAAAGTCATTTTAAACTCTGGTTGTTTCAGATTAGGTTTTGAGATTGTTCTAGTTTGGGTTATTTCAATTTCAAGTTAATTTGAGTTTTGACGGTTTCGGGTTCAGGTTGTTAACTTTTCCTGATCAAATCAGGTTCAAG